ATATATATATATATATATATATATATATATATATATAATCACTTCTAATATTTCATTTTCCGCCTGCTATTTTTGTCATGGCAAAGTATTATTAGAAAAAAAAAACAGGAAGTTAACCACTATGGAATATAAAAAGTTAAAACTGTGATTTTGACTGCACCATCAGCTTAACTGCAATCAATGCCGATTTGTGATACTCAGATCATTCTCGTTGATGGATGATTGCTGATGGAAACGTTAGGGTAAAAGGACTGGTTGCGAGAAAGGCAAAGCAAGGTCGTCGATGGTGTAAAGGCAAAATGTGAGCCTTCGGAAACGATAATCATGGGTTCGAACCTGGCCTGGGGTTCCGAGTTTTGCAATTATCTCAGCACCAATGTGGTTACCTGTAAATGGACGAGCTGAATATAATAATATCACTAAAAACTTTTATTTTGGAACACTAGGATTTCATTACGAACAACCAAGCTTCTTCAAGTTGGCAAAAACGCAAATTCTAATGGCTTTCATCTCAATCAATACTGTTCACAATGAGTTAGTTTTTTTGTAGGTTTGAAAAGGCAAACTTTATTCCACAATGTTTAGGCATATATATGTATATATATGCATGTATTTGCATATATATATATATATATATATATACATCTGTATATGTAATTCCCGCGAATATGTTGACTGATTACGCACTGTATTGATCTGCTGATATACTTCATACTTGAATGGTCTGTCCTCACTGGTTGTGTGGGCCCCAGTATAACATCCATTTTTCAGAGAATTTCTGGTGAAGCCATTGTGGTTCCCTCGAATCCCGAGGTCAACTTGGCCAAAGTCTGCCCTAGGTCGTCACCACCACAGGCAGTCTCCGTTCTTGGGGATCAGGAGCGGATTTTCTACCATGCCACTATTCTGATACCAGGACGGTGGTAGATCCTGGTATTGGTTTACTCTTAGCTAGGTTTCCTGATGGAAACGCCCGACTCCTCAGCTTGGGAGACTCTGCCAAGGGGATAAATCCCTGCTGTACATCGCAACCCGACACCCAGGAACACCTCCCAGCCACGATGAGGCAGTAAACCGTTGGGAGGACTGATATACGAACGAAATATTTTTACTAAAGACCACTGATATAATATCAAGAAGCAAAAGCGGTCACGGGAAATTTTTGGAATATCTTACCTTTGTGTAAAGTCATGCCCTGGATTTTATATGAGGGATGAGTCATCTGGCCACGGTATTATGTGGCACGAATCTAGGTGTTAAAAGCACATCAAAAGTCTCATTAAGTTGTTCTGAGACTATAAACTTCAGGTCCCTTAAGAAAATGGAACCAACTGAACAGCTTTATCGCTAGGCTGTCGCGATGGGAAATTTTACAGCACGATTAAATTGCTACACTATAGATTTTCCAAAGATGTACCACTTCAATGCTAGTCAGTAAGCCATTTCGCATCCCTTACGCATAATGTAATTTAGTGGTGCTTACTCAAACCGTTTGATAATTAAGAAAGCTATAATTGAAACATTCTATAAAGCACTGAATGTTTTATACACCACAAGCACATGAGTGTTTCATTAATTGATCAGTTCTGATGTAAAAAAAGCTAAACGATTAAGCTCTCCGCGTTGATCAATCCCTGAGGGATGCGCCATGCGTCCGACTCCATTAAGCATCTAAGCATCTTTATAGGTGATTGAATGCATATCTGCGCTTTAGAATCATGGCGTGGCATAGCGATGTATCGAGTCAGTGCTGGTACCCTCCCAGACAAGTTTGGTACCAATTTACCGACCCCGCAGGGATGGAAGGCTTGGTGAGCATGGGCGCAGGGATCGATCCCATGTGTATTGTAGGGAGCCTCCAACCACTGCGCTACATGCGCCCTATTTTGAGGTAACAGTTGCATCTTATTCCTTTTCAACAGTATAGAAATAATAGTACACCTCTCTGTCCATGATATTAACGTTGCATATTAAACTACATTTTCTTTCTGATGCAGCATATAATATTCATGACATTCAGAGATTAACTTGCCTAGTACAAAAGCCCTCTTTGAGTTTTTTCTCCTCTTCAAGATTTTCGAGTGGATTAACAGTTAAAATGAGCATCACGTCTGCACCAAATTCTCTGACTGTCAACATCTTCCACACTCCACAACGGGTAGTTTCGTCGAATGCAGGCAAACCTATCAAATAAATTCAGTGGCGAAGTTCTGACACTACGTGGATAATGCTAAAAATTAAAATGGTAAATCAGACAGATACCTGAGTCCTGTACAAATTTTGTAACAGCTTCGACAATCCTCTTCATTGAATCCGTAATGTTGTCCAAACCATCAATTGGAATCACATGATGCTCGTTCTGAGAAAAACGTCCACCCACAAATCCTACACACATCTAAATGTGTACTTACACAGGGTCTACGATAATGTTTGATATTCTTGGTATACCTAAACGAGTACTACCACTTACTAGAAGACCAAAAAAAGCTCATCTTATATTTTTGGCAGTATAGCTGCTGGATGTAATAATACTATATTATCAATTTCTAAGTAACTAATCCTTCTCACCCCTCCCCAACGGTTTACCGATTCACAGTGGCTGGTAAGTGTTCCTGGGTGTACGACTGCGATGTACAGCGAGGGATACGTCACCCCGGCAGTCTTCCAAGCTGAGAAGGAGCCCGGTGTTTCCATCAAGAAGTCTAGCTAAGAGTAAACCAATACCAGGATCTACCACCGTCCTAGAATCAAAGTCGCATGGTGGCAAACCTCCCTCTGACCCACAAGGACTGCGAGTGCCTGTGATGTGATGTGTGATGAGTTCGAATGCTACCATTCTAAGACGAGTTTAAACAACAGACCAGTAAAGAAAATGGACAATAAGTCCTCAAGTACTAGAGCAAAGAGGGTTGTTGATATATAGCAAACTATATCCATCATATTTTTCAAAACTGAAAGACGATAGGGTTTAATACTCAGGATAACTCAGGAAAATAATGCAACTGAAATAGTGTTGGATCAACAGATATCACAGCTCGCTTTGTTTTGGATAAAGGTTACTAATCAGAAGCGGTTCAGTAACCTCACGTAAATCACCTTCGTAAAAAAAGGAATTCCCGAGGAGCATAGAAGTCTGCACACTTAAATTCTATGACGTGGGGTAAAAATTCCTCATGTAGTCTACTCCTAAGTAGATCGCAAACCTTGGAAGAAGCAGCACAACAATTAGGCAAAACTGGATTCTGGAAGGAGTACGGTGATATGGAATGTGTCGAAGTTATTACTACAGTACACCTAGTGCATGCACTTTGATAATGTGTGGAAGGTGAGAAGGAAATCCTTTGTGCTATTATAAAAACTGATAACCGGCTCTCCGATATTCTATAGTAAGGACCGGAAAAAACATAGCCGTGCTTAGAATTTATCTAACGTGAACTTAAACTTGGAAGAATAGAGCAACAGCACAACACAGGATCTTCGTTTCCAGGCATTTTGAATTACCGACCAATTGGTGAAACACAGACAAGATGAAATGGATCTACATAAGTATGATCTCGAGCTCAGAGTTCATTAAACAGCCCTATATGCAGTTAAGACGAGAGCTGGAAGTTTGTGTTAGTAACTAAAAAACCCAAAACATTCCACTAAGTGGCGAGTAGCATAGTGGTAATTTCGATCATCACGAGCACAGTTCGATCCTGCTCCAGTTTCACCAAACCTCCCATTCCTTATGGGCCGGAAAATTGGTACCGGACTTCTTTGGGAAAAATTCACTCTTTGGAATCCAAGTGGGAACGTTCTCGCCGGGTTATCTCAGGACCCCACGGAGAATTGACTCGGCCAAAATTCAACGGCATTCACGACGAAAGGAATATCTTTCTTAAGCAGCAACCAAAGCCACAGGTAAAAAGTTAGAAAATCATCGTGGATGATGGCTGCGGTGGAAGCGAATTGAATGCGAGAAGTGCTGGGATTCGCAGAGTATATGTGAAAGACAGATCGTGCAAAAAAAAAAAATCCTACTTAACGGAATATACATCCAACGTGAAGCAAAAGATGGGTACTACGATATAGGGAAAACAATATTTAACAGACGACTGACAGTAACTATGAAATAAATAGCAAAAAGATAGGATTATGTCCTATATATCCCATATATGGCACATGTGACTAAGTACACTAGGGGAAACATTAGCTAATGGGAGAGTAAATCTGTGGAATAATGCATCAGAGGTTGTCGACCTCTCTAAGATTGAACCTGGAGTAAATAATGGTGATGAAATCGTCCTTAGCAGGTGGTTACAATTATTCTCGATACAAATATTCTACATGTAGCTATCGAAAAATGGCACCACTTCTTCCTCCATCGAGAATGAGAAGACAGTAAAGCAGCTGTCATTGGTTAAATCTTTTGAAAACAAGCTTTCAAGCTAACACGATAATTGGCAGTTTTCATTATGTTCAATAGCCCTGTTTTCAAGACTTAAAGAGTTCAAATGAAGAACTGAAAATCAAACATAATCCAAATGAAGTTAAAGAAAACACAACTACAACGAACGATGAAGCAAGCTAGTACATACAACCAGGTGTACACGTCAAAAAAATTTGATGCAAAGTTAACGCAACTCTCATGCAGAGTTGTTCACTTAACACATTTTTATACTTCAAAAACAAAGTCGGTCGATTCCTAACCCATAACTTCCAGAAGAGTTTAACCCTAGACGAAATACAAACCAAAGAAAGAACTTACCTCGCCCTCTTGAGTACGACCAATTGTAAACTCGCATTTATTTCGATACGCTCTGACTTTTGGTGATGGACGTGTCTAAGAGCAGAGATTGAGTTTCATCTATTCACATGCAGATGTTGGTTCACTAATCAAGAAGGTGAACTCTACCAAATAGTTATCTATGAAGAAACAAAAAATAAATAAACAAATGAATAAACGAATAAATACAATGTATATATATATATATATGCATACAAAGAGGGCGCGTATAGCGCAGTGGTCGGAGATGCCCTGCAATACGCGTAGGCTCGATCACCACGGCTGAGGTTCAGCAAGCTCTCCATCCATCCCTTCGGGATCGGCAAATTGGTACCAAACCTGTCTGGGAGGATGGTAGCTCTTGATACATCGGAAAGTCACCGCTGTCATTGTAAAGGCCAGATATGCATTCAATTGTTTGCAACGATACTCAATGAAGTTGATGCATGGCGGGTCCCTCACGGATTGGTCAACGCCGAGAGCCTTATCCCTTATCCTACCTTCCATATATATATGTATATATATATATAAATACACACAAGTATGGTAGAAGGCAAAACTAACAAACATTACTGGCAGGATAAACACCTACCTGAACTACCAAACTGAACCAACATTAACTAAAATGGATGAGAAAATCAGACTACATTCCCACAAGCTCCTTACCTTCTTCACGATTCCTGATGGTCGTAAGTGATTGATTCCAGTGATATTCGCTTTTCTCATGTGCTTGAAGAGCCTTTCACATAGTCTAAAAAAGTTACTAGTTATATGGATCTAATAGCATATTCTGGATAAAATCATTTCACCTTCGAGGCCATGCATACCTGTGCGATGTTTTTTCCTTTTGAAGCAGCTGCTCCCGATACGACAAGTCAGCGAACTTAGTTACACTCTCCTTAGCAGTCTTATGTTTGATTGGAAGAGTGCTAGAAAACAACTGGAACAAACAAGCCTGCTGTGACTGACAGAAGGGACGAGAACACCTAGCGATACGGACCTTCCTCTTCTCCGTTTGAGCAAGTTTGGCACTCAATACTACTTTCCTAACTTCCAGACCATTTAGTTTTGAGATTGCTGTCTGTGCATCTTCTGAGGAATTGAAGCTAACATAAGCGTCAAACTTCATCTGCCGTATTTTTCTGAGATCTATGCCGGGGAGATGCCTACACATATGGTACTGTGAAGCACTACCAGAAAAAAATACACTGAAATCTAAAGTTTCTAAACCCACTTCTTCAAGAACTTCTTAAACTGCTTAAAACCAAAGAATTTCGGGACTGGTGAGATGTGTATTCTATCCGAGTCGAGTCCAGTTTCCGTCTCGGCATGACTTTCTAAGCATTCGGTCTCTTTGGCGTTTCCATTAGTTTCGAGGTCTCCCAAATCCATGGTTCATGCAAACTGAATGAGATAAAGACATCAGAGAAGTTTAGAGTATACGAAACTACCTAAAGATATAGTAAAATCATATATACACGATGAAATATGTGGCGTAAGATAGGAAGTTCTTGGCCAACGACCAAAGCATTTTATTTGCCGGCTATTTTTATACTCAAGGTGGGTAATGGTGCGTGTAGCGCAGTGGTCGGAGGCCGTCCGCAATGAACATGAGGTCGATCGCCGTGCTGCAGACTCACCAAACCCTCCATCCCTCGGGGTCGGCAAATTAGTGTTAGACTTGTCTGGGATGATAGCAGCACCGACTCGTTACATCGGTAGGCCATCGCGAATCATTGTGTGTGCCTGATATGCATCCAATCATCTCAAACGATGCTCAGTGAAGTCGAATGCTTGGCGCACTCCTCTGGAATTGATCAACACCAACCTTTATTCTTTAAGGTATGAAATAGGTGAAATAGTATTCTTTCTTTGATGAGCTTACACGAAGTTGATAAACACATTTTCGGCGAACGTTTCGACATCTTCGTCTTCCTCAGAGCCGATGATCCGAGTCGATGGTCCGCGCTTGTGTGATACTAACTTGTTTTTCCCGGACAATCAAAACTGCAGAAGTCGGTGTCATTATCAGCTAGCAAATCAGCTATCTGTCTATCATCGGACAATCAAAGCTATCAGCCATCAGCAACCTGCATAAAAGGGAATCACCGAGTATCCCTCATTCGAGAAGATGGCCCGCTGAGGAAGAGGCGACACGACACGACGAAGCTGCCACATCGAGACCAATAACAAGCGTGGACCATCGACTCGGATCATCGACTCTGATGAAGAAGAAGACGTCGAAACATTAGCCAAAAATAAATATATTTATCTACCTTGTGTAAGCTCATCAAAGAAAGATTACATATTGATTAGTCACACCGAGGTTGAAGAAAAGTCGGTTTCGAAATAGGTGAAATAGTCTTTTGGTGTGAAGTTGCCCGTCCTGTAATTACCATAACGTAATTGATAACCTTAACTCAGTAACAAGCTAGAGTTTTTGCTAAAACAGTACTTATATAGGAAGTTTGTCTTCAAATTTCCAAGACCTGGACCAACGTCCCTTTTTTTAAGGCAAGACATGGCCGTAAGGCGAGGTCGCTGCGCTTTTTTAAATATAATTTCCTTCTGAGCTTCTTCTGGATTTTCTGTCGAGTGAGGAAACTTCATTCGAGTGGTGCTTCGCTCCTGAAGATTCGACGCGGTTTGACTACGAAGACCAATGTCGCGGGAATGAACCACCGTGGTCAGTCGATTCCGATCAATCCGGTTCTGGAGTGGACTAATGCGTCGAAACGTTAGCGGAATAAATCTTCTCACAAACTTCGTGTAAGCTTAGTAATCTTAGGAAATAATTTCCTTTTTCATATGTCCCAATAACAAAGAGAGTGACACAAGAATACTGGGATCCATTTTTAAACTTACTATTTACTGCCTACTGTTCTTAATGGTAGGCTATGTTGCGAAATATAACTTTAGTGATGCTGAGATATTTGCAAAACTCCAGACCGCAGGTGTTTGTAGTGGGGAACGAACGCGCTATTAACCTTTCCGGGGCTAAAGCGTTCACCACCACACCACGCAAGCCCTTCGTTTCGCTGGTTTCTCGGCTAGTTCTATCAATCAGTGCCATCAGCAATCACCCATCAGCGCGATTGATCTGAGGAGCCCAATTCGGTAATGAACCCAGTTAAGTTGAGTAGCCTTCCATTAAAAGGAGTAGGCAGTAAATAATAAGTTAAAAACTGCGGCTATAACTACAGTCTCAGCTTAACTGGGTTCATTGCCGATTTGGGCTCACCAGATCAATGGCGATGACTGGTGATTACCGATAGCACTGATCGATAGAATTAACTGAGAGGCAGGCGAAACGAAGGGCCCGGATGGTGTGGTAGTGAACGCGTTGGCGCCCGGAAAGAGTAATAGCGCGTTCGTTCCCCACCGCACGCACCTGCGGCCTGGAATTTTGCAAAGGTCTCACCACTATTGTGGTTAAATCCGAATTCTTTTTCTAGTTAATGACGAGGAAACGTTAATTCACTTCCCATAGGCAGCACTTTTTCTTTTAATTGAAAATCAATCTATAGCATTTTAATCGACGGCTTACCAATCAATTTACCGTCAATCATATGGCTTGTCAAGTAAGGAAGGTTCCACTTGATGGACTAACATTCAATAAGTCTCGTCATCAATTATTAATGCACTTGGACCTTATGGACTGCCTTTGTTGAACTGACGCTAGGTTAGATGACCATCCCATGCAGGCAGCATAAAGCCATCTCACACTTTACAAAACGGAAGCGGCTCTGATGAAGGCGAGATACACGGAATGCCAGTGATTGAATTACAAGATTAGGTGGCTTACCACCTCCTGAACCTCTAATCAGCTGAACCAGGGCGGTTCGGAATATGTTGTTAGCTTGATCTTCTACTGATTCGAGCAAAATGCTCCGTACAGTATGATACATTTTAGGACGTTGAATAGATAGAAATCACTAAGTGTGCTATGTTTTTGTCTAGAAGGACAATGACTGTTCACTGCACGTCGATGAGTGGTGGCTGGTCGGTTTCTCTGGCGGGTTGGCCTTGCTAGTTCAGTCGCTCCTTACGTCGACGCACCGTCCAATTTCACTTCGCTTCCAATATCTTCATTCGACACATTGATTGGCCATGATAACGACGATATTGATTATTTTCTACAGTTTTTTACGTGCGTCTACGAGTTCATCTGATTGTGAGTGAGTTTATGGTGCCTATCCTCTTCTAAATGTTTAGTCCTGAAGAGGCACTGCCCACAAAGTGGTTCGATCATCGGAATTTCCACTGAATTCTGCAAAGTGGTCGTGAATCTTCGTTGTCCGTACGGTCATAGGAGAAGTTCTCAGTACTTCGCATGTCGAAACATTCGCTTTCCGTTGTATGGATGAAATCGCTAACAACATTTATAAAAAGTGACCAGAATTGTCACAAATAAATTGAAATGACGTTTACAGAACCTCCGCGACATTTATAGAATACTCTAGTTTGCAGCGATCTGAAGGGCGCGTGTAGCGCAGTGGTTGGAGGCGCTCCGCAATACACATGGTATCGATCCCCGAGCCCAACGCTCACCAAGCCTTCCATTCCTCCGAGATCGACACATTGGTACTATAGTTGTCTGTGAGGATAGAAGCAGTGGTTCGATACGTCGGTAGGCCACGTCGCGAGTCATTTTAAAGGCTGTATATGCACTCATTCATCTCCAACGAAGCTGAATGAAGTCCAATGCATGGCGCCTCCATTAGGGACTGACGAACGCCGAGAGTTTTATCCATCTTTATTTTTTTCTATTTTTAAGGGATCTATAACCTGCGTAGTCTCTATAGTTTTGGAATGATTCGGCTGACACCGCTGAACTCCGTTCATCGTCGTCGTGCTTTATGAGCTACGTAGTGGTTTCTGTTCGTTTATGGAGGCGAAGAGCTTGGCGTTTTTGACACAAAGCTGTTTTATCAACTTTTTTTGGGTAAATCAGCTACAGACCTTTCTGAAGTCTGTCACAACCTAAGTTTATTCTTATATGTGCTTTTGAATTGAAATGTTGAACCCTTTCCCTGCTTAAGAGACTTGCTGGGCGACAAACTTCTAGCTGTACGTTACCGTTCGACTTCGAAGAACACACAGTGTTATGACTTGTAATGTATGTCTTTTCCAGTGATGATTTTTCGTATATTAGTGTTGGCTTGACCTTTAATGGAGTCATCGGTGAGAGGAGATGGTGACCGGCATGACTTCCGTGTAGGTCACATTGCTTCCGGCAATTTATTTTAGTGCACAAAACAATTTTCGAACATTTTTGTAGGAAAGTGATCAGTAATTCTTGCATTCGATTCGTTTCTTCGCACCTATCATTTACGAAGGTCTACGAACTTTCTTGCGTATGTGTTGTGTATGCTGCTTGAGGACATTCGACTTGGTCACGAATGTAGTCGAATAGTGTCGAATTTCCCTCGGGTTTTGAGATAACCGTGATCGGATGTTCGTGGGTGGTCTCACAAGTTGAGGAGCCCGAAGTTTTCATCAGGAAGCCTAGCTAAGAGTAAACCAATACTAGGATCCACCACCGTCCTGGTACGAAACTAGTCGAATAGTGGCAAATCTCCCTCGGGTCCGCGACTGCCTGTGGTGGTGAAGACGTGGTATAGACTTTGGCTAGGCTGATCTCAGGACACCAGGGAACCACAATGGCTGGATCAGTAAAACTCCGAGGAAACGGAAATTATGCTGGGGCCTTCACAACTAGTGAAGACGAGCCATCCAAGTATCCAGGTATAGGCTGCTAAGCAAACCAGCAGTTCTGTAACAACATGAAATCAGTTGTCCTCCTACGTTGCATCTACGGAAAATTAGGTGTCGTCGTGAATAAATTAATGGTACTGGTTTTGTTACAATGCTGTTACTAGCGAATTTAGCAATTGAGACATATGAAATTTTGTTTATCTACTTACACTAGCTATGACGGAAATATTCTTTTCAGTTCCTAAAATAATTCCTTGACGTTGTTGAGGTTAACAATAGTTACACGTCTTGCTGGGAAGAACCATTGGTTTTTCTTGGATTGTTAAGCTGTGTTTTAGTAACCGCCACGACCGACTTTCTATTAGCCTCGGCATTGATCAAGTGATTTTCTTCGTATTTTTGTTGAGCAAACGCGAGGTGTTACTATTCTTTGTTCACCATTAAGCTGACGTTTCGGCGGATTTCGCCTTCTTCAGAGCCTGGAAAGGTCAAGTTGATAGCAACTCACTCGGCCAGACGCCTCCATAACCAAACAAAGAAACTCCAAACCAAGATTTCAATCACTTTGAACACAGCTTTGCACACTCACCGCTTTCTATGAGGTTTCCACTAAGTATGTCACGTAGAGACCAACCGCACAGAAATCACGTGGGAGTATAATGTGCCCCTCACAT